GCATCGCATTGCTTTGCAACTTCCACTCAAACTTCAGCTAGCGCTCTCACGGTGTGCCCGGTTGGAGATTATTTGTGGGTCAGGATCCTCTCATGATCCTGGACCTCTTCCCATGGCAGTTGCTCAGAACTATCCCTATACAATCTAAGGCTCAACCTATCGCTTGAAAATGCGCTCTTGAGAAGCCCTAGAATTAGTCTAACACAAGTCCTTATCTTACTGAGGGTTAGTAGGGAGTAAGGGAACATATTTTATTCCCTTATTGCCTACTAACCACCAGAAGAAAGGGGTATGCCTGTTATGCTAACCGGGGTCCCCACGTCGGTTCTCCTATTTGAAGCAACTTCGGTGGACGGTAATCTCGTGAGGGCTAAATGCCGCTGGGAGACCTACTTGCAGCTTTAGGGCTGCAGAGTGTGGGATGTCAGGCTTATGGTTTTAGGGTTATGGGCCGTAAAAACTCAGTAACAAATTATCAGTGGACGTTTAACCCTACCTATACTTTCCGTGAATAGCCTTATAGGGAGTACCCCAGTGAGGAGTAGGGTGATGAAGCTTCCAGTAAACCATTCCATGCACCAGCAAATCCTAGCGCTGAAGTGTAACCCAAAGGGTCCATGTACCCAATAAGTAGGTACTTCGGTTTAGGGTAATAGTGATTATAGTACAGGGTTTGGGCAAGTATATGATTATTGAGGACTTGGACCCTTAGGGTACTAACCCAGCGTAATCTTCGCATGAAGGGGTACCTTCCTTTCATAGATCCCCAAGCATTGTAAACCCTAAACTAGGGGGTTAGATAGAGTTGAGGGGAGCAAAATAGCAATATCCCGAACCTTCTGCCATGTAGCCTCAAGATCCTGCACCTGATATGAGCTCTAGTCTAAACTCTTTAAAGGGGGTTAGATAGGGGGATTATATAGGGGTATACTATAATCTCTATATGAGCTAGAGTCTAAACTCTATTCAGGTGGGGATATATATGGGGGATTGTATAGGGGTGTTTCTATATGAGCCATAGTCTAAACTCTGTCAAAGTGGGGTTACATAGGGAATTCTACAGGGGACTACTATAAGGGTTATTAAAGGGGATACTAGGAGGCTCATATGGTAGTTTCCCGAATTCAAGGGAACCCACCCAAAAAAGACCCAAATACTAGAATCCTCGGTTCAGGGTTTAGGGTTATCATAGGGATCCCAACAAAAAGGTACCCCCTAGTTGTGGTAAACCACCACATACAGCCCAACCTTGAAATTGCAAACATTTCAGACAAAAGAGATGAGCCGTAGTCTAAACTCCTCCTGGGGGTGAGGGGGTACTATAGGGTTTAGGGTTGTTTAGGTTTAGGGTCTAAACCCCTTAAAGCGGGGGTAATACAGGGTTTAGGGTTTAGGGTCTACATTCCTTAGACGTGGATTATTTAGGCGGTTATATATAGGGGACGACAATAAGGCCTATCAATGGGGATACTTGGCATTTAGACTATGGCTCAGATGGGTCTCAGCATCGGAGTCTTTAGACAGGGGGACATTGATTTTCACCTTAAGGGTCCAAGTACCTAATAACCACATACTTACCCACAACTTGTACCATAATTACTATTACCCTAAACCGAAGTACCTAATTATTGGGTACTTGACCCCCTGGGTCAGACACTTCCACATCCAGCGTGAAATTGCAATACATCTGTTTCTGCAGGTGGACAGTGCTGTCGACGTGCCGGTCTCCAAGAGAATAAAGGCGCAAATAATTGCTTTCGTGTGGAGCTACTTCAGAAGATTAGACATTGCGGATGAAAGCCTGAACGTGCTCACGTCGGTTTAGGGGTTTACGTCTTAGGCATTAGGGTTGTGGAAAGTAGTAAGTACTTGTCTATTTGGTATGGGGGCTGATCACCAAATAGTTCGTTTTCAGCTCCCTACAAAATCATCTTGGCAGACTCTGCGATAAGTTTCCTATATGCCATCGCCTATCACGCCCTGAGCCTCCCTGATGGCTTGATTGAGGATGAACTTGCTCCGCACCCCCTACTAACAAGCCTCCTCACCAACCCCCCCAACTACTCCCTAAACCCTCAACCGCAAATCCCTCAACAACCCTAAACCCTAAACCCTAAAATGGTATTTTTCATTGGGTGTTCAGACTTGGTAGTTTCCCAAAATGGGGGCACCCCAATATAGACACCAAAATGCTATAGTCCTTATTATGGGGACCCCCGAAAGGGTACCCCTAATTTTGGAAAACAACAATTTAGGGGGGGGGTTCACTATCAGACCCTAAACCCCAAACCCTTAACCTTAAACTCTAATTTCCAAGTCCTACTCATTCCCTAGGGCTCCATGTTAAAGAACACCTTCACCGGTCTCCCTAAGTACGCTAAAATAGGGTCTATGTAGGTCCTATTTGTAGATATTTAGGATCTGTAGAGGAGATTGGGCCCCAAAGTCTACAAATATGACCTACATCGGGCTATTCCGGAGCCCTAGGGATTATGCGTGGTGGCGCAGGTGCTTTGATTCTTTTAAGTCTCCAGCTTTAGCATGGCTGACCACTTATCCGGAAGCCACCCCAAACGCAGGTAGCTGAGGCCTGAATTGCATTTTTTGAGAAATTTCCTTCTTCAAAAAAGGGTTATATGGGGGTTATATAGGGGTTTTATTGGGATAATGGAAAAGAAAATGGAAACTGCTATTTAGGGTTTAGGGTTTATCTAAGCCCCTAAGGGTTTTGGGTTTTAGGCTTAGGGAGTTTAAACCCTAGGACCTACATGAGCCATAGTCTAAACTCCTCAAAAGGGGGTTATATAGGAGATTATATTATACAGGGACTCTTACAGGGGTTATCCAGGAGGATACTAGGAGTTTCGACTATAGCTCCTTTAAGCCTTCGCCCTCCTTTACATCACGCCCGCAGCGAACACGGTTCGGATTTAGGGTTTTGAGTCCACCGTTCCCTTAATAGTAAGCTCCCCCCCCCTTCTTTATAGTAATATTTCGTACGCTTCTGTATGCTTCATCGGGGGAAGATTTGTTTTTTTGCAGGTGCGGTGTGAAGGTGTGCTATTAAGCAGCCCCGAAACCCAACCCCTAGATGATGTACTGTAGTATTTTCCATTTTCTTTAGTATTCATTATTGTGCCTAAGCCCTCAACTTGCCCACTAAACCGCTGAGAGGCCTCAAGCCTCAAACCTCCTGAACTCCTGGACCCCGCAAGCATCAACCGCAGGTAGAAAAGAGAGAGCGCAGCAAAGCAAAGATATTGCTCAAATCCAGAAGCTTTGGCTTGAACCCAGATCCCACATCCTCAACCCTAATAACCCCCATATAACCCATTATGGTAGTTTGTATTTTCTTGTCCATTATCCCTATATAACTAAACTGTATTACCCGATACTATCCCAATGGCCCCAAAATCTTACCGATGTCCTACTTGTGGGGCTGGGGTGGATTTTACAAGCTTACTTATAACTCCTCGAGATCGTATGATAACTCCAGTTACAGCATGTAGTAACCTTACTCAGTTTTGTGACTATGCAAGTTTAGGGTCTCAAGTTTAGGCTTTAGGGTTAACCTGCTGGCATTGCCCAAAGAGGTGCGCGCTGTATTTGGCATCCTGCCGGACACCACCACGAAGCTCTTAGGCGAGAGGTTGCTTGACTCAGTATGGATGTAATATCCCAAAGGGTCCATGTAGCCCTAAGGTAGTCATATGGGAACCCGTTTGGGCCTTAAGTGTATACTATATAGCTACATGGACCCTTTGGGTATAGGTACTTGAGCCCCGTTTACTTACTGACCATCTACGCATTATGAGCTCCTGGATCAGCACTTAGGGTTAAGGTTGCGAGGTCCAGCGCTTAGAGGGTAGGGTTTAGGACCGTTTTTTGATGTGTAGGACTCTCAGCGTTTGGAGAGGATTGAAGGGTTGGGGTGCAATCTGTAGGACTTGAAGACCTTGAACCAGGGCCCTCAATCATACATCTAATTATGAACGCTATCGCGTGCCCGCCTCGGCTGCCGGTACGCGGAGCACACGAATAGGTCATGAGTTGACACATGGGGTTTAGGGTCGAGGGGGAAGCCTCACTTCAGACTGTTTGTTGGCCATCAGCCTTAGAAGGGGGAGGGGAGGGGGGAGGGGGAGGGGGAGAGG